AGGCTGAGATGGTTAGACAGTGTCATCGATGCAACGAACATGAAGTTGAAGAAGACCGGAAGGCCTGGCGGGAGCTGGTCCATGGGGTCGCAAAGAGTCGGACTCGACTGTGCGACTGAACAACAACAGCGACATCTGCACATTCAGTATTTATATTAATTAAAATCTAAAATATGGATACCCATCTCCAGAAACACATAGCCTCAAACATTGCCATTTTACATTGCAGTTTTACACTTCAGTTTCATTTTTCTGTGTTCTTGGCCGCTAAGGTGAAGAGTGCTACCCTGTAGGAAACTATAGGGTCTGCATCTGACAGCAGAAATAATAATTCGTCTATGTCAGAAAAATTCTGCAATTGATCTATTATTTCAGTTAAAAATTTACCTTGGTTCCCACTACAATGAAATGGATGATTTTTACAGAAAAAGATGCGGTGGGGGGGGGGGGGGGGGGTTATAAGAATCATCCCAGGAGTAATTCGGTTGGCATAGTCTCGAATCACAATGCTGTAAATGCTGATTTAAGTTTGTATGCAGTAATTTGTCTGTGTAGTGACTCTAGAGCCAACCGTACTTAGCTGCTGAGATCAGAAGAGACTGGACTAGCCTGGGCTATCCAGGTCAGGGCATAAATGGGTTAAAACATTTGAATCTAATTTGTTGTTGTTGTTCAGTTGCACAGTCAAGTCTGAGTCTTCATGACACCATGGACCACTTCACGCCAGGCCCTCCTGTCTTCTGCCGTCCTCCAGAGTTTGCTCAATGTCATGTTCGATAACACTGTCCAACCATCTCATCCTTTGCCGTCCCCTTCTTCTTTTACCTTCAATCATTCCTAGCATCAGGGTCTTCTCCAGTGAGTGCTCCCTTCTCATTTGGTGGCCAAAGTATTTGAACTTCAGCTTCAGTATCTGACCTTCCAGGGAACAGCCAGGGTTGATTTCCTTTAGGAATGATTGATCTGTCATCCTTGCAGTCCAAGGGACTCAAGAGTTTTCTCCAGCACCAGTTAGGCTGGGATTTTTAGAAGAAGGGAAAATAAGACAATGAAAAGGCAAACAGACATGAATGTATCTTCTGTTCCAGCAGTCATGTGGTCAGAAACTTCATCACTGTCCTTTTCCTTTAAATGTCCCTCCACACACCCCAGTTAACAAATATGTTCAATATTTTTATTTGTCTAAAATCCTACATTATCATTGTCGGTAAGACAATACAAAAAACCCTACCCAACTTTTAAAACATGGATGCTGAACCTAGAGTTCCCTGTCCCATGGCTGCTTGAAAGAAAGGTGTCTGCTCTTGTGTATGATCAATCCACCTCCATCTTTGTTAAAGGGTAATCCTTAGAAAGTATTAGTAATTTATTTGGGGGGGTATTTTTTTTGTTTTTGTGTGTACATTCGCACCTGGAAGTCACATTCACCTCTGTTTACTGACCCCTTCTGGGGGCTTGGAGGATAGTCAGAGAGGTGGCTGAATAAAGCCTGCCTCTGTCCTCCCAACTTTGTATTCCAAGGAAGTCTCCCAGCCAAGTAAAAACCATAGTCAACCCTGCTTAGCTTCTGTGATCTGATGAGATTGGGCTTGCCTGGGCTATCCAGGTCAGGGCAAAAATTATTCGTGATTTCTAAGGCTACAAAGTGGATGTTGTGCCAGTGTTTCGAATACACATTATGTTCATTGAACATATGAGTTCTGTAAGGTCATATGCATGGGATTCCTTCCACAAGATTTTAGTATTACTTGTTGCTTTATTGTTGTTGTTTTTCACAAAATACATGTTAATATTTGACCACATTTATCTGTCTCATTACCATCTTTTAAAGATGCATATTGACCTCTTGCACTGAAAATGGCCACTGTTGTGTCTCTCAAGGGGCTAACCTAGAACTGATTTTAGGAATAAAAGTCTAGATTTGAACATAGGAAAAGAACAAAGAGCTAGTAAAACCCTAGGCAAATCAAGGATCACTACTTTATCAAGGATCTGTAATGTGCCTCTTAAACCTGCTAAATCTCCAGGTCTCTCAGTGAGGGCAGTGATACATTCTAAGTAATAAAGTAGAGACAGGCCACTGCCATTCTTCTTTTGAATGAATCCCTGACTGTTAAGGCACCTTCCAGTCAAATAAGTCCTGAGACTCCCACATCCCCCTCACACCAGCTATTAATCATTAGGCAAAGAAGTCATGCCTTCCCAAAGAGTTTGTGTTCTGGTTCTTTGAACCAAGACAGACCTGATCCACCGATCTGAAGAAGTCCCAGCACTAGGGATGAGCACAATCCAGCTTGTGAACTAATATTCATGATTAATTTTGGCCAGTTTGTGGTTTGTGAAGGGAAGTTCATGGCAAGTCAACCGGCACAAACTCTCCATGAACTTTGAAGCTGTTTGTGGAGGTTTGTGCTGGTTCTTGAATGGATTCAATTCCAGAGAAACTATCTCCACTCGAACAAAATGTTTACCAAACTTCAAAGTAACAAAGGCAGCAGAATTCTCCAGCCTTAGAAACAATGTTGTCAGTTTCAATCTATTAATGTCAGTTTCAAGAGCCCCCCCTCCTGAATTTCTTTATTGCACAGAGCTTGGAAAATCCTATCCCCTTTGCTTGGATGTGTGACTCTGTGCTTTGAGATAAGCCCTTTTAAGCTTGCAATACCAGTGGCACTGGGTTCTGCCGGGCACTCTGTAATTGTACCAGTACTGCTGGGCACTCTGTACACTTTACTGGTTCTGCTGGGCTTGCAAAAATGTCCCCTTTGCTTTGATTGTGGTTGAGCTGGCATTGCCACAATGGCACTGGGTTCTGCTGGGCATTCTGGGATTTTTCAGAATAGCAACAACAAAAATCTTGATAAAATCCTGAATAGAGTAGATCTGAAAAACAGCAGAGAGGCAGGAACACACCCCAAAATACCTTATCAATATTTTTGGGCATATTTTGGTATCCCAAAGATATCTGGGATTTTTCAGAATAGCAACAAAAAAAATCTTGATAAAATCCTGAATAGAGTAGATCTGAAAAACAGCAGAGAGGCAGGAACACATTGCTCCCACCTCTCAGCTGTTTGTCAGGCTATCTACTGCAGTCCCTTTAAAAACTTTAAAGAAGCCAGCCCAAAGATCAGCTGAACCAATAGGAAGCAGAGTGCTCCCAGCCGGTTCAGCTTTGGTCTGACTTCTCGTGCAGCCTTGTTTAAGTGGGGCTGCATAAGAAGCCAGCTCTAAGATCAGTTTAGCCGGCAGGCAGGAAGGCACTCCCTGCTGGGTCAGCTTTGGGTTGGCTCCTCATGCAGCCTTGTTTAATAAACAGGGCTGCATGGGAAGCCAGCCCTTAGATCAGCTGAATTTCCCCCAGCCTCACATGCTTTGCCCCCCTCCCCGCTGAGTATGTGGCCCATGACCCTCCCTTCTGCTAGATTTAAAGGACCCTTCAGCTGATTGGCAGGCCACGTGGTCCCTTCCGATCAGCTGAAGCCCTTTAAATCTGGCAGAAGTAGAGGCAGGCAGAGGGGTGGCCAGGCAGGTGGTTGTGCTTGGGGATGTGGCTTGGGGTGTCCACACCCACTCCAGAATGCCTCCCAAATCCTCCTGCCAGAGCAACAAGGGGACCTGGCAACTCTACTGTGCACTCTGTGTGTGGGAGATGTGAAGCATTGAGGAACTGTGGTCACATTGGCAGGCATTTGATGGCTGCACCTGTTTGGATTGCTCAGAGGGATGCCATTGGCCCCCGTTCCATGATGTTCCTGTGGTTTCTAGGATGTTTCGGGATACTTTGTATGGGTCTCTGCCTGGTGAAAGACCCCATGCTGTTTCCTTCCTTTCCATAGGAAATCAACTATGGGCATCAGTGTTACACTGGTGGCCAGCCACCAGCCCTCAGAGTTGGGTTGCCCAAAGTATAAAATAGCATTAAAAGAACTATTAATCAAATACATGCAATTTAACAGTACTGTCTGAGGCAAAGCACCCTAATTTCCCTCAAGGGTTGAGGTGATTATTAGAGGGCCTAGTCCAGCTCACAAGTGCTTGTGATTTGAGCTTTCCATCAGTTACCACATCTCTTTCAAGGCTGGACTCAAGAATGTGGTAATTGGTTAATAGTGAGATCCTGTGCTCAGTTGTATAACCAGATGGGGAGGGGGATAGGAACTGACATTAACATCTTTTGGAAAGTTCAGTCAAGAGAGATTTCTGATTGGATCCAAGAGACCACCTGGTGCCAGAGGGTAAAAAGCTATAATAAGGGTATAGGCCAAAGGAAAGCCATGCTAACTTTATGCTCATTCCATGCTAGTATGCTTTGATATGTTACACTCCATCATGATGGACTGCAATGTGTAGAATGTTTTTATGTTACTGCTTAGATTTTATGCTGCGATATGATTTCCCATTTAATGCCAGGTATTTACTCTATTACATGGAACAGTTAGCCTCTTTATTTTCTCCGTTGTTAAGCTATTGAGAGTGTACTGCATAGGGAATTTTTTTTAATCCTTTAATAAATATATTAAAGGTCTGTTTTATTTGTATGCATTCTGCCTTGAGGACCCAAAGGGCTGAGTCTTGCTCAGAGGACAAGGTGCAAGCAGGTCCCAGGCTTGCGCTTCTCACATAATGACTGGGTAATAATAATACTGTAGCCTCTGTATGAGCATGTCCCTTTACACAACATAATCATATCATGGTTCTTTCTAGATTGCAACCATTTAAACTGCAGGTGATGGACTGTGCATTCACACACATCAAGCACCAAAACAGCTACTTTAGTTCAGAACAATATTCCCCAACATGCCAAGTTTTCCATGCACAGAAAATCATCATTTATATAACTGCATCAGTTTATAGCCACCATTTACATTGGTAAAAAGCATTGCAATTAAATTATACACGGTAAAAATAACCTAACAATATGTATACATCGGTAGCCATCACAGTACACCTCAGCTATTCATATTAATGTAATTGGGTTCACTTCACTGGGAAGTTTATCAGGTCATCAAGCAAAATCCAAACAGCTTCTTTGACATTTTCTGCATGGCTGCCTGGATCTCTTTGTTTCTCAGACTATAAATTATAGGATTCAGGAGTGGCGGCAAAACGCTGTACAATACAGCAGCCAACAGGTCCATTGCTACCGAAGATATGGATTTCGGTCTCATGTAAGAAAACATAGCAGTAGAAAGAAATAAGCAAAACACAGTCAAGTGTGGGATGCAGGTGGAAAAGGCTTTGGACCTAGTCTGGGCTGACTCAATCTTCAGCACAGTAGAGAAGATGAACCCGTAAGAAGCTAATATACAAAAAAAGCAAAACGAGCCAACGATAATGGCTTCAACAAAAGAAAGCAACACATTGGCAGTTGTGTCCGTGCAAGAAATCATTAATAATTGGGGGATATCACAGAAAAATTGTTTTATGCTACAGGTGCAAAAAGGTAACCTAAATGTGTTTGCAGTGTGGATAATGGCATTGATTATGCTGCTGATCCAAGAAGCTGCTGCCATTTGGACACAGGCATTACTGTTCATGATGACTGTGTATTGCAGAGGGTGACAAATTGCGACATAGCGGTCATAAGCCATGACAGTGAGAAAGGTCAACTCAGCACTGGTTCCTGTCACCACTAAGAACACCTGCATGACACATCCAGAGAAAGAAATCAGCTTGCTGCTTGTCCATGAAATCACCATGGATTTGGGGACTGTGGCAGTGATAAAACAAGCATCTGATAATGAGAGGTTCACAAGGAAGAAATACATAGGACTATGAAGGGACTGGGTCTGGACCACAGTCAGGATGAGAAGGAAGTTCCCCACCAAGGCTGTTGAGTAAATGAAAAGAAATACCACAAAGTGTAAAATCTGGAGTTCGGGGAGATCAGAAAACCCCAAAAGGAAGAATTCTGTGACAGTTGTCTGATTTCCCATTTCTTCACTGGCATGAACCTTTATAGAAAGAAAAGGAAATTTGTCATTGAGAAATAAAGGAGATGAAGGAAAAGCTTGCTTTCATCAGTAGTGACATCATGGCAAAAGTCTAGAGGACTTCAGGGCAAAAGTCTAGAGACCTGGATCACATACAAAGCAAGGAGACTAGAAATGGGCTTTAGTTTCTGAAGCATGCATTCCCATCTGGACCATTAAGACCAGAGTCTAAAATTAACTAATGAGGGTGGTAGAAAGTGCCATCAGGTCACAACAGAGGGTTTTCAAGGCAAGAAACTTTTAGAGGTGGTTTGCCATTGCCTGCCTCTGCATAGCAATCTTGGCCTTCCTTAGTGGTCTCCTATCCAAGTACTAACCAGGGCCAACCCTCCTTAGGTTCCAGGTTATTATAGGATTTCAACAAAAAGTAGCTTCCTAGACTGTTCATCATAATTATGCATGACAAACCATAGCTTAACGGATTGTCTATTAGAAGATGAAGCTTAAAAATAAAGAAAAAATATACCTATTGTACTAAGAAGATTTAAACCAACTTTGGATTTGGGTCCAATTTTTAACGCATAGTGGTTCTGCCATGTGTGTGTGTGTATGTTGCTTTGGGTAATCTTTTTAACTGTCATACAGCTGCAGGACATTTCTTACACAAATGCCACACCAAAAACACATTGGAAGCACCTTATTGGGTCATCAAGAATGCTGTTCCCAGCAAAGGCCTGATAGGTTTCCAGAAACAGAATATACAAAATTTTGGGTTTTCTTGCTAGATGTGCATTATTCCATTGATACATCTGTTGACTTTTTAACACCTTTCCCACCATTTTGAGATGTTGATACCATTATGCATACACAATAGAATCTCAGTAACAGTTATTTAAGTTCCTTGAATACCTGTTGCATCACTGATGCTTGCTGATCCACTGTTCGCTGTGTTCATTGATGCCTGTATTCTTCTACCATCCTTCTCCTTTTTTGAAATCTTGCTATACAATTACAAACAAAACATTTATTGGACCACAAGTAGGACTTCAGAAGAAGCTATGTAACATTACTCATTGCTTTCCCTTTTGGCTGTTGATGTGTTCCTGAAAGGAAGAAGAAATGGAAATGTAGAGGCGCTTGAGCCATTTTTGTACTTATTAATTTATTTCAGGCATGCTCCCTGGAGTCTTTTGTATCTCAGCAGCATAAATTAAAGCTGACAAAAACTATTTCCTGATGTGCAGGTTTTGTAAAATTGATAATTAGCAAAAGAAGAGGTAGCGTTGATATCTGCAGAGGGATCAGTGCTTATATGGTATTGGTGCAAGGGAAGAGGGTAGCTACAAAATCAGAATTAGTTTGTTCCACCTAATGTTAGATCTGCTTCCACTACTACTGACAGCCCTACCATTTTCTTGTCTCAAGAGGACTCCTTGTACCATTTTTGACCAGTAGAAAAGCTGGCTGGATCCAACTCCAGGAATTCATCAGCTCTTCACTAAGCAACAGTGGCAGCCTGCTGATCTTGTACTCTTTTTGAAGAATTACTGGAAGACTAACAGATTCCCTTAATGAAGCCTGTTGGTGAAACACGTAGGAAATTCTGGGAATTTTAACTGAGTAATTATATATATATTTCCGTATTTTGCACCATCAGCCTTGGCTTTATTTTTTATTTCCTAGTGACTGGTGTGACCCTTTTATTTTCTCTTTTTAAAATCTTCCAGTCAACATTTAGCAAAGCTCTAAAGATTTTTTTTAAATCAAGAGAAATTGTGGTAAAATCAGTTCATACTGTTAGATGAATTATAGACATAGCCACGATAGACAGAGAGAGAGAGAGAGAGAGAGAGAGAGAGAGAGAGAGAGAGAGAGAGAGAGATTTATGATTTTAGGCATATATAGTTATTTGATTTATTTCAGTGATCACAGGAATTGTGCAAAATAGAAATTAAGTAAATTGTTCCTGAGTAAAATCCAGGGGCAGATTCTGGGTTGAAGGAATGGCCATGGAAAAGGGCCCCTCCCCTCCAAAAGAAGAAGGTCAACACTGCCCAGCCAGACCCAAGCAAGAAGTGCACAGCCAAGCTAGGTAGCTGGGCAGATTGAGGCTGGGTGGGCCCATCCCAGCCCTCACCTCAAAGAAGCTGGGCAAACCCATCCCATCGCTCTCTTTGGCAAAACTGGATGGGCCTGTTCTATCCCTTGTCATGGTGAGGCTAGGCAGGCCTGCCCTACCCATCATCATCTATCATCATGGCAAGGATGGGAGGATCCAGTGTGTCACTCACTGTACTGAAGCTGGGCAGGTCCTCCACTTCTTTTGCTATGGTGAGGTAGGTTGGGTGCATCACTTACTGTGGCAAGACCAGGAGGGCAAGTCCAATCTCTCACTGCATCAAGGCCAGGTGGGTACATCCCATCCCTCACCAAGGCCAAGCTGTACTAGACAAACATAGGCCCTTGCCACAGCAAGTCCTTCTACCCTGTAGCTCTGACTTGCACCCACCCCATCTGAGCTGTTGTGGCCCCAATGGGAGGTCCCACCAGACCATCAGGGCTCTTCCTAGGTATATTGATGGCCAATCCATCCCTGGGAAAATTCCATGTGAAAATTTATCAGTTTTTTTTTTTTTAGCCATTAAGGTAAATTCCAATTATATGCAAGCCACATTTAGCTTCCTGAAAGGGTTTTGATAAGCCTCTATTTCAGACACCTATAAAGGCACAATATGTGGGACGCAGTTCACATTTTTCAGTCAGGGTTGGTCACATACCCTGTAATTCTGGGTAAGATTATTGGTTTTCTATTTTTCATATCCATTGTCCTGTATGATCAGCAGAAAAGGAGCCTGTTTTCTTCACATTGTTTCTTCCCAAGTCCAATGTACCCAGATGACTACATAATGATGTTCCAATCAGAGCATATGAAAAAGTCCATGAAAACTGCAGCTGGAATAAAGGATGTATGTGGCTTTTATTTTATTTATTTATTTATTTATTTTAGATTTATAACCCTCCCTCCCCTGTACAACAGGGCTCAGAGCAGATGACAATAATATTCATAAATTAACACTATTAAAATGACTTTTACGGTAATGCTGGCATCAATAAGATGAGATTTAAAAGGGAAACACAACACACTGCCTCTTCTTTAAGGGGAGGTAGATATCATACAGGTAGGTAACAGATAAAACCCATCATTGACAGATAGAACTCATAGTTGTCCTCTGACATAGGCCTAGCAGAAAATCTTCTTACAGGCCCTGTAGAACTGCATCAGATCCCGCAGGGCCCGGGTCTCAGTTGACAGAGAGTTCCACCAAGCTGGTCAAGGACCACCAAGTGGTCAAGGACCACTGACTACTCTTTGGGCCAGGGATCACCATTAAGTTGTTATTCATTGAGTGTAATGCTCTTTGGAGGGGTATACCAGGAGAGGCTGTCCTGGGATATGCTGGTCCTAGACTGTTTAGAGCTTTAAAGGTTAGTACCAAAACCATGAACCTGATCTGTTATTCAGCCTGGAGCCAGTGCAGCTGGCAGAGCACCAGTTGGATGTGGGCTGTAACTGGGGTTCCCGTAAGAACACACACCACCACATTCTGGATCAGTTGAAGTTTCTGGATCAGACTCAAGGGTAACCTTGTCTAGAGCAATCTAGACCTGGAGGTAATCTAACCTGGAGGTGACCATTGCATGGATCACTGTAGCTAAGTCAGGGCAAGTCAGGAAGGGGACCAATTGCCTAACCTGGTGTAGATGGAAAAACCCTAGTCTGGTCACATTTGTGATCTGGACCTTCATTGAAAGGGGGGCATCCAGAATCACACCTAAAATTGAGCATCGTCACTGGTGTAAAAGGCACATTGTCAATAGCAGGGAGTTGGCATCCTGATTCCCAACCATGAATCCCCCCAGCCCAGCCACAGAACCTCTATCTTAGATGGATTTGATTTCAGCTGGCTCTGCTTCAGCCATCTGGCCACAGCCTCCAAATACTAATCCAAAGTAGCATCCAGCCAACCATCCATTAACAGATACAGCTGGGTGTCATCTGCATACTGATGACATCCCAGCCTGAAACTTCATACCAGCTGGGTGAGGGGGCACATATAGATGTTAAATAACATTGGAGAGGGAACTGCTCCTTGGGGAACACCAGACACCAAAGGGTATTGTGGTGACACTCTCTCTCCTAGCATCATCCTCTGTCCCTGACCTTGGACAAATGAGACAAGCCATTTCAAGGCTGTCCCCCAAATCCCCACATTGGCAAGGTGGTGGGTCAACAAATCATAATTGACTGTGTCAAACATTGCCATCAGGTTGAGTAAAAATAGCAACACAGCCCCACCTCAATCCAGTTGTCTATGGAGATCGTCCATAAACGCGACCAACACCATCTTGGTCCCATGGTGTCATGCTTGGTTTTGCTCCCTTTAGTAAAACAAATAAATTAAAAAAAACATGAATAACATCTTTTTTAAAAAATATGCCATGAAATAACTAAATTTCAGTAAATAATATTCTGTGGCTGATTTTGAAAGATTTCCTTTCCTACCTGCAGCAAGTAAAGACATTAAATTTATTAATTCACTAGGGAAGCGAAGATGCAATTCCTTAGTGGTTCTCATTGAGACAGTATAACTGATGTAAAATGTTTTAATCAAGTGTGGATCACAGTGCATTCATCTTAACATATCCAACGGGGATTCACTCCCTTAACCATGGAAGGACATTAAATAATGCTTGCCTCAAACCATCAGCTGCAGTTTATTGACCATATCCAGGTTTCATTACTAAGCAATGGGTTATCCGTGAATTTTGACAAAACTAAAATAATGGTGTTCGGCGATTCCTGGAAACCTATCAATTGGCATGTTAAGGGTAAAGCCATTGAACAGGTGAAGAGTTTTAAATATTTGGGAATTAATTTTTACCATAGTGCTAGGTGGGTAGCACACAATTCAGAAGCAATTAAAGCTGTGTGCTAGCAATAACCCATTTTTTTGTTTTTTGTTTTTTGTTTGTGTGTTTTTTGTTGTTGTTTTTTTACCAAGGGAAACCAGTATGTTCCTGCGGCCCTAAAAGTGTTTGAGCATAAAATTGGAGCGAAACGTCTTTATGGGGTGCCCCACATTTCCATCAGGTTGAGTAAAAATAGCAACACAGCCCCGCCTTGATCCAGTTGTCTATGGAGATCGTCCATAAACGCGACCAACACCATCTTGGTCCCATGGTGTCATGCTTTGTTTTGCTCCCTTTAGTAAAACAAATAAATAAAAAATAAAACATGAATAACATCTTTTTAAAAATATGCCATGAAATAACTAAATTTCAGTAAAGAATATTCTGTGGCTGATTTTGAAAGATTTCCTTTCCTACCTGCAGCAGGTAAAAACATTAAGTTTAGTAATTCACTAGGGAAGTGAAGATGCAGTTCCTTGGTGGTTCTCACTGAGACAGTATAATTGATGTAAAATGTTTTAATCAAGTGTGGATCACAGTGCATTCATCTTAACATATCCAATGGGGATTCACTCAACCATGGAAGGACATTAAATAATGCTTGCCTCAAACAATCAGCTGCAGTTTATTTACCATATCCAAGTTTGATTACTAAGCAACCAATGAACAAGAGGTAGACTGAGGATACTGAAGCACTCTGCATCACAGCCTTGAAGGTAATGTATTCTGTAGACTTATGTATACAATTAATAGTTTTGGGTAATCACAGTGAGTTTCCATGGGAAGAAGACAGCAGAAATATTCACAGTTATGTCTGCGCTGAGTATATATTTAAAACATACAGTGTGCTATAGTCCTCACTTCTGAAGACATAGGCATTCATTTATTTCATTACCAAATGGTGTCTCCAATGTAGCAAGGAGGGATATGGCATTGCCAGTTGTTAATGGAATGTTTGTGGAATGAACATGCATTCTGTGCTCCATGATGCCTCTATTATACCATGTTCAGCTTTCTTAAATTTAAACCTATGTCTTCATTCTAAATGAATTTTAAATCTCCTTCTGAATATGAATGTACTCTTTTGCTAGTAGTGAGTTTAATCAGCCCATAATCACAGTTCCACACTCAAATTTATGACATGGAAGAAAAGCAAACTTTTCACAGTGTCTGCATTTCTCCACAGATGCAACCCATAGCAAGTGGACAATGGAGAAATGAAACGGTTGTCACCATTTTCATCCTGCTGGGATTCAGGGAACTCCCCCAACAACAGATTCTTCTCTTCCTAGTATTTCTGGTCGTCTACCTTATGACCATGACTGGAAACATCCTCATTGTTCTGCTTCTTGTGGCTGATCATCACCTCCATACTCCCATGTACTTCTTCCTGGGGAACTTGTCAAGCCTGGAGATTTGTTACACATCTACTGTTATCCCTCGAATGTTGGTCAGCTTTCTGACTGGAGACAAAACCATTTCTCTTTTAGCATGCCTGGCTCAGTTGTACAGCTTTGGCACCTTGGCAGCCACTGAATGTTATCTATTAGCTGTTATGTCCTATGATCGATACCTAGCAATATGCAAACCACTCCGTTATTCTGTTTTTATGAATGCCAGAATTTCTATCCAGCTAGCTATCTATTGCTGGGGGAGTGGTCTTCTGGGCAGCACTGTAGTCATTGCATTAACATCCAATTTGTCTTTTTGCAAATCCAATGAAATTGATCATTTCTTTTGCGATTTCCCACCCCTGATAAAACTGGCTTGTAATGACACGAGTCTGGCAGAAATAGCACTATCCGTGGTTTGTAGCATTATATCAGTATTCCCCACTGCTTTGACTCTGACCTCTTACATTTGTATCATCAATACCATCCTGAGAATTCCAACTAACATAGGGAAACAAAAGGCCTTTTCCACCTGTTCCTCCCACCTAATAGTTGTTACTATATTTTATGGAAGTCTCCTAGCTGTGTACTTGGTTCCTTCTTCCAAGAACTTGAACAAAATCCTCTCGGTCTTCTATACTCTTCTGACACCATTATTCAATCCCCTTATCTACACACTACGGAATAAAGAAGTGAACAGGGCCTTGAGAAAATATCTGAATAAATTAATCTCGATCACATGATTACAAATGGGAGAAAGCATTCATATGATAAACAATTTTCCTTTCATCTCAAAGAGGAAAGCTTGTAGTGTCTACTTCTCTCATTATAAAATGAGTGGGCAGTGACAGTTCCTGAGACTTTAAAAGTGAGGGAAAAAACTTAGTTTCTTATTATCTATATTTATGTTTATAATCTCATGCCGTAGGTAACGATTTTGATACAAGAATCCTGCATCCATTATTGTGATTATTCTTCATCCTGATATTATTATGCATATGTGTTTTAGAGTAAGCTATGTACTTGTTCTATGTAAGATTTGTCCATCTGAACCTGCTGGTATTCTAAACAGTCTTGTTTGCAGTCCCAGCACCCAGAGAAAGGGAGAGGGCTGCAGAGGCGAGGACCCCTTTACACTACCTGCCATACAATCACATACAACACTTTGGAATAAAATGTGTAAGAAGCCTTGGCACAGCATGGGTCCACCAAATCCTGGTATCGACTGACCCACCTGCCAATCGATGTACTCCACCTCAAACAGCCTGCCTGCTGGCGTGGGGAGAACCATGGGATGGAAGGTTGCTGGATTCCACAAGGACGATTCTACAATGTTGATTCCACAAAGAGTGGTCTCCCCTGACACTTGAGTGTGAACGTAAGCTGTTGGCAGCCCTTGATCTGTGGATGCCTCTTGACACCTGCCTTCAGTAGATCTCTTTTGCATCTGGGTGAACACACTCCTGTGCAGGCTAATCAGGGATATATACACAGAGATGCACATCCAAATGCGTATCCCGTTCAAAGCAAAGAACAGCATCCACATGTGAAAGCACATTTGAATTTGAATCTGAAAACAGATATAATTTCCACAGAGTTTCTGTGAATACCCAAGACCAAGGTATAAACTTCCTATTTATATCCATGCATACATCTGCTTGTTCACACTCATAGTTGGCGAATGGCCATCTAAGATACCCCAGCAATTACGTGTGATTATTTTTCATTCTGCAGATGCAGTTTCTAGAAATATAAAGGACAAAGAAATGAAACAAACATAACAGATTTCATTCTGCTGGGATATGGGAATCACCAGGCCCTTCAAGTTCTTCTGTTCTTGCAGTTTCTTCTAATCTGGATTGCAACTATGGCTGGGGACTGCTAGTTGCAACTCACCAACACCTTCACAACCCCATGTACTTTTTCTTTGGGAACCTCTCCTTCTTGGAGACTTGCAGCAACATAAATATCATGCCTGGAATATTATCTAGTTTCCATAGAGGGAAGAAGACAATTTCAGTCAATGAATGCTTTGAGCAACATGGTTTATTTGGTTCTTTAAGAGAATTCTACCTCTTATCTGCAATGTCCTATGACCATTACCTAGCTATATGTTAACTGTTGCATTATGACAACATGATGAATGGCAAGTTATGTCTCCAGCTGATAGGTGGCTCTTGGTTTAATGGGTTTTTGGCAAATACACTCTCATTAATCTTTGTGTTGAAGTAAATTTTTTGTGGGCCCACAAAATAGACCATTTCTTTTGTGATACCTTTCCATTCATAGAACTATTGTTTGACACTCACATATTAAAACTGTAAATGTATATATTATGCTCTATATTTACCATCCTTGAATTTATATTAACCCTAACATCAAATATTTCCATCACTGAAGCAATAATGAAAATCCCTTTCACTGCTGGGAAGCAAAAGACATTTTCTACATTTCCATCCCATCGCTTTGTGGTCACCAGAGGTCGATTTGGGGGGGATCGCGGGGGATTGCAGTTCCCCCGGGTGAGGTACGGGGGTGGGGCACATGACGAAGCCCCGCCCCCTGCTTCCGGCCACCCCGCTTCCGGCCCTCATTCAGCCAGGAGGAGGCAGGAGAAGAGGGAGGGTAAGTTGCTTCCTCCCCGCCTCTCCCCACCCCTGCCTGCCTGGGGCCAGGGAGGGCCTTGGCGGGGCTTCCTCGCACTCCCGCCGGCCTTGCAGGTCCACCGTCGAGCCCCTGATGTCAGGGGGTGTGGCATATGCTAATGAGTTATGCTAATGAGTTCTCCTAGCTCTTTTTCTACGAAACGACCTCTGGTGGTCACCATTTTCTATGGCACACTGATTATTGTCTATGTGGCTCCAAGCACCAATAGAATGAAAAGCTCTGTCATCTACACCATCCTAACCCCCTGCTTAACCCCATCATTTATAGTTTGAGAAATAAAGTGGTAAAATCTGTTGGGGTTTGGCCCTCGTTCTGCTGGAAACATGTGCTGGTTCTGCTGCTGGCCTTGGAAACATGCCCTCTCCCCACACCTCACTCTCTGCTGCAGACACTCTCTGGGAGAATCTGCTGGGCTTGTTGTATCCCTGCCTTGCTTTCCCCCCACCATTGGAAACAATGGAGGATGGGGGCACCCTCTTTGCCCTCTGTCCAATCTTTTTGAAACTTGGGAGTTATTTTGGGGAGAAGCTCCAGCAGCTGCACTGCAAATTGGGTGCCCTGGGAGATTTACCATTGACTATAATGGCCCCATAGGGTATAATGGAGCTGAAAAATTCGGGGTCCCAAATGTTACCCAAATTCCAATACAATACCAATATCGGAATTCAGGTCTTTAAATCAATAACAAAAAAACAAATCTGAAAAAAAAATATCTTTTTTTTCCTTACACATCCCTATCTGACAGGATGTCCTCTCATGAGGCCCATCACCCTCTCATGAGAGGTCGTCCTTCTCCACACAAGATAATTCTTAATTGGGTGGGCTCTAGTGTTGACATTGATTTTCCTAATAGTGTTACCTCTTTAGATGTCAACGTGTAGTGGTTAGAATGTGGGACTTGGAGCCGGGAAAACTAGGTTGAAGTCCCCACTCCACTATGAAGCTTGCTGGATGACCATGGTCCAATCACTCAGGCTAACCTATCATTCAGGGTTGCTGTGATGAGAATACACAGGGAAAGGAAGGACAATGTACATCACCTCGAGCTCTTTGAAAGGAGAGATGAATAAAATTGTGATTGTAGAAAATAAATGAGGGCTGCGATCATATGCACAATTAGCCCCAACATAGGCATTAATGCCGGGCAGATTTAAAGGGCGCAATCAGACACGAACATCTGGGAAGCATCCCGCAGCCATCAGCAACCCATGTTGCTCCGCTGCAGAAACAGAGTAAACAGGCACCGGGGAAAGTCCAGTAGCAAATGGGTTGCTATGGGCCACAGACGGACTTTCACCTGTCTGATCGCTCCAGCGCACTCTCATGGCGTTGGGGTGGTCTGATCAGGCCATCCCGACTCCGTGCCATTGTTCCCCCCCTTCTCAGTATGCGCATCATTGCACACTCCACAGGGAGCCCTCAATGCGGAGGTGCAATTCATCGATTCCTTGTTTAAGCGCATTGGAAACAAATGGCAAAAAAAACAACAACCCCAACTCACCCACGGTTGCATCTGATCATGCAGTGGTGGGCTGTGCTCGCAGCTACAAAGGACTGTGTGACCACACAACTATGGGTCAAATTCCTCCAGAGGGAATAACCTCGCTTCCCCCCCCCCATTTTATCTGGCACGTGACCACAACAGAGAAATCCTTGTAAAATAACATCAAAAGCAAATTTTAAAAAATAGCTTTACACCACCGGGAACACAGGGCCACAACCTCTTGCTCAGTTGCTATAGGCCTTTCAGAATTTTTTTTTTGCATCCTTTCCAAAAAGCTGCAAGAACAGAGCAGTTTTGAACCTTGTTAGAAGGTTGTTTCACAGATATCCGAATTTCATCTGGTTAAAGTGCACAAAGTAGAAAGTGCCCCTCCAGAATTTATAGTGCATTCTGGAATTGCTTTACTTAAGATTATACTGTTAGAGACATATTTCCCCCAGAGAAGCCCAGTCACTGTTTAAGTGCTTGTGCCAGCTGTGCCAATTCACCCAGAAGCATATGAAAGGGCAAGGGCATGCTATCTGCTTTGATGGTTCATTTAAAGAAAACTGAAGTCCAGCTTCATTGACTCAGTATTCCACACAACTGATAGAAGTGGAACAAACTGTCAGCATTTATAACACCTCCCTTAGTTCTCTGACCTTGGACAAAAAGCTACATTTCCAGTTACTTGCTGGCTAGATACAGTCTTTGTTACAGTACCCTCTGTTGGTCAAAATACTTATCTAGCCTAACATCAACTCTACTGGAACAAAGTTTGAGTCCAGTGACATCTTTAAGACCAACAAAGTTTTATTTAATGTATAAACTTTTGTGTGCAAGCACACTTCTCCAGATACTTTGTGCTTGCACATGAAAGTTTATACCTTGAATAAAACTTTGTCTTAAAGGTGCCCCTGGACTCAAACTTTGTTTTGCTTCTTCAGACCAACAGGGCTACCCCACCTGAAACGAACTCCATTGGAATTCATTTTCCTTCGCAACTATGAAAAGCACAAAATCCCTGATTTCCTTTGCAACTGGCCATTGAACTGCGGGACCTCATGCAATTCCGCAGGGCCTGCAAGACGGAGCTCTTCCGCCAGGCTTTCGAGTAGGAGCCGCCACCCCTACTATACCGCCACCGCCCCGAGGTCCTGATTAAACATCTGCTACCGAAGAATCCTCCTGCCGTCTTCGTGGGACTTTGGACATTCAATCCGCCATCTTTTAGATTATGAATGGGAGCTTGAGCACCTGTTATTATATTTTAATATGTAGTATATGTTTTAAACTGTTTTGTATATATTGTTTTATCATGGCAAGTTGTTCTTGCCTCTGTGAGCCGCCCTGAGCCCACTGGGGAGGGCGGGGTATAAGTATGAAAATAAATAAATAAATAAATAAAACTTGCAACATTCAGTTAAATCAAGACATGATAACCTATTTTTTCCCCCAAGACACGAGCAGAAGAGCTAAAAACAAAACACCACACAACTTTTCAAGATGAAAATTCACCTTTGGTCTACCTTATAATTATTGAGACACCTGTGTTCATCCCTCATTCCATGTTCAGCTGAAGATCATAAGAATTACATCAATAAATGTTTGTATTAAAAAATGAACTAATGTAATTGCCATAATGAGAGTGAACTGGGTGGTTATAATTTTATCCAGAACTTTACAGAGAAGGTATAAATAGGTCAATTTGTCTCCCTAGCTTAGTATTTTCTACCCAGAGCATAGAGCTATAAGTAATTGTGCCATTTTAAGAGAGTGTATCAGAAATGAAGAGATAAGGGAGAGAGTATAAAGATAGATAAATATGTTTCCTCTCCCTCCAAAAAGCCTTTCTTAACAAAAACGTCTATGCTTCTCTCAAAATTCTACAGATATTTCTATTTCACCCTGACCATAACGTCTAAATTTGCCTTGTAGTTTTCTTTGGGTGGAATAGATAGCAATTTATGCATGTGAAGAGCCCAGAACAAAATTCACACATCACCAGACTTTTTGCTTCTCTCAGAATGGTTTACATGAAGTACCAAATTCATTTCAAAAGTTCCTTTTGGCTGAACTTCAGAGGAGACTGCAGAGTAGATAAATTACAGATTGCTAGATGACAGGGAGTCAGCAGTTTATTTGACACATTGTTTCAGTTGGAGACATCCCTTGATTATTTATCCTGTCAGGGTAGACTTACAAAAAGGTTCCTTATTCTAAACTTTTGCAGAATGGATCCTTTTTCCAAAGCCTTATCTCAGGGATATGCCTATTCATGAAACATGCTCTGTCAATGCTTGTTTTTCCCCCCACACAACAGTTTCCATGATGCTGGTTCTGGTACTCTTAGCTCTGTTCTTTCCAAAATTGGTAGGGAAGAGGATACAACATGAGTGCAGACTTGAACACCACTATCCAGAGGGATATTATAAAGATGGAGACTTCATTATTGGTGCTGTCTTATCCCAGTACCTTACTTGGGATAAGACAGAGGCATTTAATACCCAGCCTCCACTTGCATACTTGTTAGATGAATAGTAAGTCTCTCTTTTATCATGCAGTATATAATATGTATTCCATTACTACTACTACTACTACTACTACTACTACTACTACTACTACTACTACTACTACTACTACTACATCTCATTTATCTCACATGTATGTTATTCCTATGACTATCTGTATATGTTAGCTAAATCAAGCACAACCCATGGATAGTAACAACCCTTGCAACTGTCCTTCATTATATTTGGTTATTCCTCTAGCAAAAAGTGCACCCTATGTCGGAAAGCGACAGGAATTTGGGGAGGGGGATGACAGGAACAGCAGGATGTTTGATGGCATGTACTTTAGAATTCTTTTTGGGAACACTACCAGGAATCATAATGTTCATTTTCTCCTATGCATTTCCTTCTTGCTTATCAACTAAAATGCTTTTTTCCAAGTAAAATGCACATGCCACAATGAAAAGCAGATAAGACAAGGAGAAATTGTCATGGTCACAGTCATTAGATCCATAGGTGGTATTATGCCAGCCTGTTCTATCTGAATAAATCATGAAGCATTATTGGCAGGGCTGGTAAGTATCCAGGAAAACTTGCAAGTCTTCTGTGTTCCTTATGTAGGCACTTGTGTGCTGCTGACCCATCCATCCTGTTATGGAGAAAAATGGGATAAGTTGGTCACCATCAGGGCCAAGCAGAGATTGGGTGATTTCCCCCCAGGCTTTGATCTGATGCTTTGTCCCAAACCACTTAAAATTTATCTTGGCTTCAAAAGAAGATTGCCCAATTATATTTGAGTAATACAAGTCTTAACTCCCTTAGCTTCACAGAACTACCTGTGTAATTCTTGAGATCTAAGCCAGTGTGGTTCTTCGTGGTTAAAGTGCAATCGTGATTAAGACCATGAATTTTGAGCCAGAAGTTTCCCCAGATTATAGTTCATCCATCATTTCTAGTCAAAAGCAGTGGCCTTCCTGACAGCATCCTTGTATAAATGGAATAATATATGATGTGTGTTTTGAATAATAATAATAATATCATCATTATCATCATCATCATCACCATCATCGCAATTTGCAGTCTGAGAGGACAACACACAAAATTTCTTTTGGATTTAAAATTTTAATTTTCATTGCAGCCCCCTAACTCGTAACTATCAACATGTCCTAGCCTTGGTCTATGCCATAGAGGAGATTAACAGGAACCTAGGTTTGCTGCCCAACATCACTCTAGGATTTCACATCCATGAAAATTATTTCAATGAACGGAAAACATATGAATGTTCCTTGAGTCTGTTTTCCAAAAGGATCAGAACAATCCCCAACTTTGTCTGTAGGAAACGGAACAAGCTTGTCGCTGCTATTGGAGGGCTAAAGTCCACATCATCCATTCAGATGGCAAACATCTTAGGGATTTACAAGATACCACAGGTGTGTGTGTGTGTGTGTTACTGGGAGAGATGTTCAGCATAATAACGAGAAGGTTCAGTGGTGGAACATATGCTTTGTGTTCATAAGATTCAATGTTCAATGTCCAGCATTTCCAGTTAAAATATCTCAGGTAGCTGTTGAGAAAGGCCTTTATCTGACTGAGGCCCTCAGTGCTAATCAAAGTAGCAGCCCTGGTGGCCCCAACTGGTCAGAAAGGTATGTAGATATTGTAACTAAATAAAGTGTTGTAAATAAAAGTAGAAAACACTGAGCTGATTTTATCAGTGGTCTGACAGTAAGGCAACTTCCATATGTTCATTCTTTGATTGCTTCACTTTGCTGATAAAACTCTACATTCAAAGCAGATAGTTCTTCCAGTTGAAAAGAGAGTCACATTAATTAGACAAAACATCCGCATCCAAAGACAAAAAGAAAACAAGAGTACTATTCCCTGAAGTTTCTCTCTGTTCCCCTTTAAAATTTACATTATTGGCTGTCTGGTTCAATTTATGATTTTATGGCAAGAACGCTAGCTCAAGAGCAACATAATCACTTAATATTTGAGCCACTGCCAGTTAAGAGACTTCTGATAAGACGACATCCAAATAATTGATTTCAATTTCTGCTTGTAATTATGGTTGAAATCTATGCTAAATAACTACTAATGGCTACTAACCTCCATGCCCCTGAAGGCTTGAATCCTATGACTGTTCCCCTTGCACTCCTCTGGGGTCACTGTGGAGGTTTTCCTCCACTGCAGCACTTGCTTCCTCTGTCAGCAACATTTCTGCATGCATGAAGGCTCCTTCAAAAACGTTGCTCTTGTGCAAATAGAAGTGTTAGCAGCAGCCGAAGTGACTGTCACAGTAGAGGAAAGCCTTTAGGGCATGCAGAGTGGGGGTGCAAGACGAAAAATGTGATACGATCTTTATCTATATTTTCCAAGTTGAACATAAATATAACTGCTACAGTCATAACAGATCAAAACATTTGTTGCCGTTGTGAACTAGTTCTCAGGGAAAGAAGTTCAGCTTGTAATATCTGTCAGCAATTAAATGTTAAGAACATTTATCTTTTGAAACAAATCATTGGAACTGTACTTGTCACCCCTAGTATTACCTTACCCTTTCTGTTTAGATTAGCTATGGGTCATCAGATGCTGTCTTTAGTGATAAAACCCTTTTCCCATTTTTCTATCGGACTGTCTCAAGTGAAGCTCTCCAGACTTTTGGAATAACCCAGGTGCTTTTGCACTTTGGTTGGACCTGGATTGGTCTCATAGTTTCCGATACTGAAGAAAGTGAAAATTTTGTCCATAATTTGAAGAAGGAATTTGTTCTAAAGGGGGTATGCATTGAATTCACAGAAAAGCTTTTAAAAAACCCTCCCACCAAAATTATGTTGAAACTGAAAGAAAAAATAAAGGCATCCTCCTCCAATATCATTGTGGTCTATGGAGCTACAGATTACCTGGTCTGGGTGAAGATAACCTTTGAAAGCTTCACATTCCATGGGAAAGTTCTGGTCACTACTTTCCAGTGGGACTTCCTATCCACGGTCTCTCCAACACATCTAGGATTTCATGCATTCAATGGTGCCTTGTCATTTGCTCATCATGCAAATGAAATTGTTGGATTTCGAGATTTTCTTCAGACCATAAGCCTCAGCAAATACCCAGATGATGTTTTCATGAAGTATTTCTGGGGGAATGTGTTCCACTGCTTGATTCCATCTCTAGATTTGGGCAATATGCACCAGTTCCCATGTACTGGACATGAAAGGCTCCAAGATCTGCCTAGCTTCAGTTTTGATTTTCAGACATTGGACTTGAGCTACAATATCTACAAAGCAGTTTATGCTATTGCACTAGCATTGCATAAAATGTATTCATCTAGTCACATTCAAAAACAGCTGGTGAACCAAGCAAGACCACTGGTGCACAGTATTAAACCATGCAAGGTAGTGAGATTTCTCTGTCATGTCTGTTTGCTTCTCTGGCATGTCTGTTTCTGAACAAAGTTGGTCATAGTTTCTTTTACATTGAATGCATTCCTTTCAGTAGATCAATATTAACAAATGAATAGTCTGATCAAAAATGTCATTTCCTGACAAATGTGCATAGGAGAGCAAGGACTATGTTTGGATAAAAGGATGCAACTGAAGTTTTCAAGGTTGCTCCATTTGATTTGTAATATTACCTATCAAAGGAATAGAGGCTGCGGTCACACGTAACAGAAGCCACACAAGTGAGACGGAAAACAGCCGGAGTTTCCGGGCGTGATCTCACCAGCACATCTGGGAAGCGTAGCACTCCCGTGGCTCAACCGAGGCTTCCAGCCGAAACTGTGGGGCAAAAAACTAGTACCTTGGAGGTACTAGTTTCCGGAAACTGCGGGGCAAGGGTGGGTGTCTGATCGCGTTTCCGGTGGCATCCGGCGCCCGCCCATGTCCCCTTGCAAATAAGGTGTGTGTTTTTTGTCCAAGTCTCTGTGGATGCGCATGCGCACCCAACGGAGCATGCGCATTTGTCATGTACACAAAAATAAAAAACAGTTTGCCGCGGCGCGCGCTTCTTCATTGCGCGCTGGCTTGTACTGTGATCGGCACCTCTCCCTTGCCATGGAACCTCCATGGAACCTCCACGGTACCTCCACAGGAGGTCTGATCACGTAACTGCGCAGTAGTTTGCCCCAGGGCAAACAGCCATGCTTCTCCTCTGCAGTTTCCTGCCCGTGTGACCGGGGCCTGTTATTATTAAGCAGATCTCTGGAAAAGACAGCACACACATTTCCCAAATAAATAAAATAAACATTATTGCTAAGAACATAAGAACAACCCAGCTGTATCAGAGCAGTGGTCCATCTAGCCTATTTCACACAGCAGCCAACCAATTACCCTGGGGAGCCAACAAACAAAGTATAGAGACAAAGGCCTTCTCTGATCTTGCCTCCTGGCAGAGGTATTCAATGGCTTGCTGCCTTGGAGTGTGGAGATTCCCTTTATTTGCTACAGCTAGTAGCCACCTATCCTTCATGAATCTGTCTAACCCCTTAATACAGTCAACCATACTCATGGCCAGAACTACAGCCATTTGCAGAGAAATTCCTCAGGGTCTGTTCACTGCATTGCTGTTGTTATTTAAACTGAATACAACCCTGTGAAGGATAAAAGTTTTAATGGTTCAATCCTAAGTAGAATTAGGCCCTCAAAAGTGTACTGAGATATTAAGGCTGCCGGGTCTATTAGAAACACTTGTGGGGGATGTGGGGGATATTCTGGGATTGGGGAGTGAAATTGTGTGAAGTGACATAGGCATGTAGGTGATATTTGGGGTGACACTCTGGTTTTTGGGCAAAACTCTATGGTAAAATCAGCCTCAAACCATAGATTTTGCCCCAAAACCCTAGACTTACTTCCTGGCCTAATACCAGAGCACTCCATTTTCATGCAGGAAGTAAGTCTAGGGTTGACAGCCCCCAGTTCCCAGTGGAGGGTCTAGTTTTGGGGCAAACTCTATGGTTTTGAAGGCAAAAAAACATAGAGGTTTGCCCAAACACTACAGCATCACCCTCCTGACATCCCCGACGCAATGACATCAATTCTGGGTGATGTAGGCGTGTCATGTTTATTTCTGGCAATGTCATCAATCCCCAGTTTTCAGTGGTTTTTTTCCCACCATTGGGGGCTCCAAACCCGATGTGATGACATCACCCAGAGTTAGGCCATAGCCCATCCTCAATCTAAACTTAAAACATTAAACTGATTTCACCCCAAAATGCTTTTTGATCATCATGATGTCATCATGAAGAAGGCTGTGCTCTTAGCACCATGAACTTTTCCTCCAAAATAGAACATAGTCACAGTAACTACGGCTGCCAACCTCCAGGTGGTAGCTGAGGATGTCCTGGGATTACAAGTGATCTCCAGGTGACAGAGATCAATTCCTCTGGATGAAATGGCTGCTTTGGAAGGTGGACTCTATGGCATTATACCCTGCTGGAATCCCTCCCATCCTAAAACCCCGCTTCCTCAAGCTCCACCTCCAAATTCTCCAGGTATTTCCCAACCCAGAGCTGGCAACCCTAACAGTAACAGTTCATAGTTTTATTAGTATAAACCTTTCAAATTGCTGTGCTAATTGAGTGTTTTTATTATCCTCTGTATTTGGAACAAACATGTTTGCAGTATATGGAGTTACTCAGCCTTCCCCCCATTAGCTGTGAGTTGGTTATAAATGATGTTGAGAAACTGAAATATAAATACAGAGCTGTCTGAAGTTGTAAATTTAATTGATTGTACACTATACAGCTCCATCAGTTTTTGAAGGAAGTTCAGTACCATAAAAACACTACAAATGAGATGTTTTTTGATGAGAATCAGGACTCAGCTGCTGGATTTGACATACTGAACTGGGCAGTCTTCAAGAATAGAACATTCCTTAACAGGAAAGTTGGGAGAATCATTCTACATCATACATCAAGAGAACCATCATTCTCAATAAATTCAAAAGCAATTGTTTGGCATGCATATTTTCATATGGTAAGAACTGTGTCCTTGAACCAATAGTATGCCCTACCTTTCATCATCAATGTTTCTTTTTCATTTGGTAGACGGGTATGGTGTACAGTGTATATTATCCAAACAATGCTAGAACTTGTTGAATGAATAATTCATATTCATTCATTCATATATTATTCATGATTATAAAGATTTCTCTGTCAATCAAATTAAAAATGAGAAGAGTCATAAACATTTGACTTATTTGGTTGTGGACTTTGTTGTAGTTAGTAGAACCATTTTTTTTAAATATTCATGGTCTTGGTATTTTTTAAATCCATTTATGTAGGTGCCACAGTCAACATGCACAAAGAGCTGCCTTCCAGGACACCAAAAACAAGCTATAGAAGGAAAACCAGTCTGTTGTTTTGAGTGTTCTCCATGCCCAGAAGGAACATTTTCCAATTACATAGGTAAAAATCTATTGAAAAATCACACCTTGCAAACTATTATGGGACTCTGATGCACATATGAAACTCTGAAAAAGCAGGATCTCCTGCATTCTCTCTAGCATTGTATAATCATCAATGTATGCATACTCACAGCATGCATACATTTTATCTGCCATTGGGGGGGAAATGGGATGGATCCTCATAAGAGAACTGGTATTCAAAGGCCCCTGCCACACGGCAGGGAAAACACTGGGCGAAGTGTGGCTTTTAAAAGCCACACCAAAAAAGAGACGCCGCGGCGGGATCCCACGATCCCCTGAGCCGCGCCGCCATTGCTCCCCGGCATGATCAGATGCCGGGGAGGAAGAGACGAGTGGGAGGGGGAGGCTGCCGAACTGCGCATGCTCGAGCATGCACAGTACGGCCGAGGGGCGTGGATGTGCCGGCGAAAAGACGCGCCGGCGATCCCACGGCCGGCAGTGATGCGGCCTTTCGTAAAGAACCACCTAGGTAGGTGGTTCTTTTTTGATGCGGGTTTTGGCCGGGAGGGGCGGATTGGGAACGGGCTGAGAACGGGCGCAGCATGATTACCAGATGTTGCTGTGGGATCACGCCCATTTGCTCCGGCCCCAATCCGTCCCTCTCCCGACCCAAAACGTCTCGTATGAACAGGGCCAAAGTTTAACCATTAATTTCAATTTCACTCTAGGGTCAATACTATTAAGTGTGAACAGTGCATAATATGATCAATAATATAATATCTGAGAGCCTTAAAATTGCTTTATAGTTCGGTGAACTCTCTCACTTATACAGACCTCCACCAAATTTCAGTGATTTCCTTCTGTATGTTCACACCTACACAATTAAACCAGAGTATTTTGTTTTGCCATTTTCATTAGCTCTATATTATTACAGCTGTTATTGTTGGAAGCCAACAGGAAGACCTCTCAGGTTGAAAGTTGGGCTCAAAACTTAGCAGCTGATGACTGAAGACCATGTATCTTATAAGACACAATACAAAACCCACAAAAGCTGATTTCAGGAGGTGAGATCCTGCCATGAAAATGACTCCACACTTTAAACACTTGAGGGGGGGGGGAGATGCAACCTTACAACCTTCAATCACAGTGAAATCAATTATTGGATTTCAATGGTCCACCTTAAAGGTGAGCGACCTCTTCTTTGGTCTATGGCTCACAATCCAACAGAATGACCAGTCATAGGTCTGTGGACACCTTTCCATGCCCGCCATCATTTTCACTGCTTTTCTGCCCAAGGACAGAGGAGTGAATGCAGTATTCATTGCTTTGCTCTTGGTCAAGACAAAGCCACTATCTGAACATTCCATTCATTTTTCCAGGTGTTCTTCCCAACAGGAAAGGTAAATACTGTGCCTCAGGAAGGGTAGAGTGAAACATGAATCTGTCTGAGCACTCTGACTGTAATCTGCAAGCACTTTAACATTTGTTCTTCCCATTGAAATGCAGATCATTGTGAGAAGTGTCCGGAAGATCAGTATCCAAACCCTAACAAAGAAAAATGCCTTCAGAAGCCAATCACGTTCTTGTCCTTTCATGAGCCTCTGGGGATTACTTTAGTTGTCATAACTGGTTTACTTTTTCTGATCACAGTTTTTGTCTTAGGAACCTTTGTTAAGTATCAAGATACTCCCATTGTCAAAGCCAATAACCGGAATCTTACCTATATTCTCCTCCTGTCCCTCATGCTCTGCTTTCTTTGCCCTTTGCTTTTTATTGGCCAGCCTGGGAAAATAACCTGCCTACTCCAACAAATAGCTTTTGGCATCATCTTCTCTGCCTCTGTCTCTTGTGTGTTGGCAAAGACTGTGACTGTGGTTCTGGCTTTCATGGCCACCAAGCCTGGAAGTAGAATGAGGAAATGGGTTAATGCAAAAGTGACTATTGCCATCTTTCTCTCTTGCACCCTTGTTCAAGTTGCCATCTGTATTGCCTGGCTTAGGTCCTCTCCCCCATTCCCTGATTTTGATCTAAAATCTGAAGCTAAGCAGATCGTAATGAAATGCAATGAAGGAGCCATTGTCATGTTCTACACAGTCTTAGGTTACTTGGGCTTCCTTGCAATTGTCAGCTTCACTGTAGCTTTCCTAGCTAGGAAACTACCGGATGTTTTCAATGAAGCCAAGTTTATCACTTTCAGTATGCTGGTGTTCTGCAGCGTTTGGATCACCTTTATTCCCACGTACCTAAGTACCAGGGGGAAATTCATGGTGGCTGTAGAGATATTCTCTATTTTAGCTTCCAGTACTGGTATGCTAGGATGCATCTTTCTCCCCAAAATCTACATAATTTTCATGAGGCCTGATAGGAACACAAAAGAGAAGTTACTTAAAAAAATGAATACTGATGTAACACAGTTGAAAAAATGAAACAATTCTTCCATTTTTAAAAAAAAATGGAGAAGGGAAGAATTTGGTGGGTTAATTGTTGGTACGGAAGAATAAAAACAAATGTATTTGTTTACTGTGAGTATGATTCATTTAGCAGTCTATGCTGGGATTCCTAGTTGACTTGGTAACAGCCTACTTTGTGGTGCATTTAACATTCGGCAAACCTAATTTAATTGCTCTTTTCAATAATTTGATACCACTGCTTTAAATCTCTTGCAGCAATAACTTCAAGATACAGTTTAGCATTATTTATTCTGCCATCTTTGTTTGAGTTACCACCATTTCTCTTAATAAGCTTGGTTATGGGGAGGGGGAGGTTTTTCTTTTCTTGATATTCTTGATTAAATATAAAGTAATTGATTCCATTTTTTTCTTTTTTCTCTTTTAAAAGAGGGATTTCTCTTTGATTTCTCTTTGTAGGGTAATCAATTTACTTTTTTATATAACTTCAGTCCTAGGATAGTGCTCTAGTAGGAAGGCTGATTTGGGGAAATATCACCTGCCTCTGAGCATCTACAGAATGAAATTCTGAAAATGTGCAGAACCTTCCTTCCTGAATTTCTCTTTGAGCAAAACGAAATTGATAGGAAATTGATAACTGATAAACTCCAAAATCCTTAAAAGAGGGAGAAATTTGATAAAGATGAATAAATAAGATAATTTATCTTAGCATCGCTATTTTTAACCCTAATTTTTTATGATTATATCAAAGAAACCTTTCCAAGGATCTCATCTTTTATTGGGAAAAAGACTGCATTTTCCACCTGCTCACCAGATCTAACTGGTTTCTTTCTTTTATGGGGTCATTGTTAGGGTCTTTAAGAGCCAGGTTGGTGTAGTGGTTAAGTGCGCAGACTCTAATCTGGGAGAACTGGGTTTGATTTCCCACTCCTCCACTTGCACCTGGCTGGATGACCTTGGGCAAGCCATGGTTATGATAAGAGCTGTTCTTGAAAAGTCCTCTCTGTCATCTGTATTGTCTTGACTCCTTCAGTGAACTCTTTGGACTAGGCAATGAAGCTGTTAAAGAGTCTGTGAGCAAGGCTACCTGACACTTGTTTGGTTGGCTATGACGTTGCCATAAATGTTTCTGTCAAGGATCCCAAGAGCTATGCTGCTCAAGCTGTATATCTCAAGAGGCTTTCATCTCATGTTATCTTTGTCAATGAACATTACCTCATATGAATATGGTGGACCACTGTGGAAATTGGGGAAAACAATTGAAAACAGGTTTTGTTCCATTTTTGTCTATTATTTATAGCAATATATACTTTTCACTGAGCATGTCTCAGCTGTTAGAGGCACCTAAAGCCTCTCTTTGGATCTCAGACAAAATGTGTGTTTCACCCGACAGTACTAACCTATCTATTTTCCAAATAAATAACATTTTGTAACTCTACAGATTTTCTATTGTATTAATGTATAAGACATATTAACATATGGAATGGAGCAATATTTCATCCATAATAAAATTATTGCTGGGGAAAACTCAGAAGTGACGTAGTGGTTGTGGTACATAGAATATTGTGCCCCCATGTCCCCACCCCCAAGTGTTCTGCCAGTTCCCAGGCATGAAATCAACCACCAATGGCTGTACAGTGCATGCAAGTATGCAACCATCCAAAAAACCCCAACAACTGTACAAATAAAGCACCAGACAACAAATTGTGTTCTTAAAATGAATTAGTATTTTCATTTACAGTCCTTTTTCACAGAAGTTATAAACCATTCCCTTTTTGTCTCCAAACACAGTCACAAAAGAAGCAACTACGGATTGCCTAGGTTGCTGTCTTTCTTCTAGCTTCTTCAGGCCACTGTCTTAGTGGTGGAGCTGTGAATACATGTTGATACTTACAAACAAATTCCATATTATACATATTGAATGGTGTATACATATTCAAAATACTGTCATGGATACCAGAGAATCTTACCCTCCAAAGCTCTAGAAGTTTACTTTGACTATTTAGTCTATCTTGCTTCAATTCAGTTCTCCTGCTGGGCTCTGATATTCCAACTGAAAACCTCACATTAAATCCTTCCCCTGTTCCAGGATTGTTTACAGCTGTGATAATGTGTATATAACAACTTCATGCCGTTATTTCAATGGTAAAGTTATAATTACATGTTGATGCTCATAAACAAATTTCTCACTCCAGTTCTCCATAATAAAGGTCAAAGTCAACCACAAATGGATGGTGATCCTATGACTAAATCAGGAAGATGAATTGTGCCATGTTCCTATACAAGCAATTCAGTGGCAATGGTCCATGGCTCCAAGAATGTACTCATGGTGTGGGATCCAACCAATTTTTCCACGAATAAAAGAGGAAGGAAGAGCCCCCTTTGACCACCAAAACAGCTGTGGTGGAGATCATGGGGCCCACATAGAAAAAAGCCATGCAAAAATGGGGTTGCAATAATGAGGGGAATCAGGCAGGGTTGAAATGGTGGTAGGGCCCACAACATGGCTTGCAAAATATTAATGATTTTTGTAAGAAAGCTATGGAGTACCCTTGTCATCATCATTCATAATTCCCGGGTGTTCTGTAAACAAATTTAATAATGCATAATAATGTAACCAACTTTAATAGCTTCTGACCCCTGATACCTTGCCAACTAGGAACTATGTGGTTGACAGAGGAAGAAAATATGGGAGAATAACTTGATACAGAGTTGTTGTGCTGTGGGCTTCTCTTTTCACCAAAGTAATGATCCACTCACATTTTAATGCACTGTTCTTCTTAATGTAAATTAATAAATAGTATTTGTGTGTATTAATCAATTTTCAGCCAAACTCTGCTTTATCCTGAAATAGCAGACTCTGAGACATGCAAACTCTCATGAGAAAGGATTTCTTCCTGCCTATTCCTCTGGATGCACAAACCCTATCTGGAAACATTTACTGTGTTAGACTGCTTACTTTCAAAGTGGGCTAAAAGATTCCTTCAGCCTCACTTCGGCCTGAGCAAACAGATTTTTATCTTTCTCCCCCCTCCCATCTTGTTCCTTCAGCCATCCAAGGGACCTGACTGGCTGTTACCTGTTCTGCCAACACACCAAACAGGAATATAGAGGATTGGTTACTGACAGAAAAGGACAGAACTTTTGCCTATCCATCTCATAAAGACTTGAGAATTTTCAAAGGAAAAATAAAACCTTTCTCATTCAATAGTTAGCATTTTAAAATTTTAAAAATGCCCATGCTACATACAAACAACCTGACCAATATTTTAGACATGAAAGTCATATCTTGACAAGCATAACTACTAACCCCCCTATTTTTTATATATTTCCCTTTCCTGTCTAATGTAAATTTCTATAATTTATATTATATTTTTCTGTTTACACTGGGAATTTTGGTATCATCATTTGGGAATGCTGGATTGGTCATTAGACAATCATTCTTTCTTCACATACAATAAAGCACCATAATTAATTCCTTAGTGATTAGATCATACAGATAGCTTTTTACCTTTCAAAACTATATAAAATTCAATGCAAATAAGAACATTCAGTCTGTTGGAAAGACTGAGAATCCACCTTGTTGAGCACAGTCCTACAATCATGTTGTGCTTTGGAACACAGAGAGAAAATGTTTTAGTACAGGTCTGAGAACATTGTCAAGGTATGGTCATCATGTTAACATTTTAGATCTGTCTAGATATGATCCATTGACAGATGTATACAATGGAGTCTCATGACCATTTCTCATATCTGTCTCACAATAACTGCTTTGTGGTCAACTCCCTATGGAATAGGGGTGGTATCTGTTATATGATCTGTCATATGATGTTGCTGTAGCCTGGCCATATGCGTGCATGGTACCTGCAGAAGTCACCAATAAAAAAAAAGAAGTCAGTCATCTCAATTAATTGTAAGAGCTTGGATCCTGCCAGGGATCAAGGGGCTTTTTTGACCACTGACAAAACTTTGATATGTATCTTAGGGTGAGGTCAAAAGCTACACAGTATGGGGACTGTAGTGAGGAGTGGAATTGAGAAAGAAGAAAAGGTGGTTGGATGTAATCCAATGCAGGTATTGTGCTAAAAAGAAAGCTATATAGAATATGGGACTGTATAGATAGTGAAGGCTAGCCCAATCTCATCAGATCTTGGAAACTAAGCAGGGTCACACCTGGTTAATATTTGGATGGGAGACCACCAAAGAATACTAGGATCACTACACAAAGGCGGGCAATGACAAGTCACTTGCCTTGAAACCCTAAGTCAGCTGAGGCTTGATGGCAAAAATAGTAGAAGACTTTGATTAATCAGGGGGATTTTAGTAGTGTGGGACCTAGTAACTTTATATACACAGAATTGTGGACTCTGGAGCCTTAACATAATTTACATCTAACTGCAGTTGAATGCAAATCATATTTTATCTCATGGTACCAATGGCACCATTGTTACTGCTAACATGGAGAGACCAACTTCTCTGTCATGTGCAAATGTCATGTAATCATTACACTTCCCCAAAGTAGCAGTCCTAAGCAACTCTATTCATTGTTATTTAGTAGAGTTTACTCCCAAGAAAGTGTTTTAAGTTAGCAGCTTTGGACATGCAATTTGCAAATGTGATTTGTGAAAGGTATATATTCATCAGTCTATTTGTTTCTATACTAGATTTCCTGAACTCCTGAATTTATGTTTCCCTTGTAATATAAAGCAAACATAAAGTAAAATTTCAGGAGTTGTTCAAGTTAAATACTCATGTAAGTGGTACCTAGCCAAAAGTATCTTGTTGTTCATTGCTGATAACAGAATTTTGGACTAGATGTAGTTGGAATTGAACCAGTAAGGCTTTTGAGTTTTCTCCCCCCATGCATGTCCCCCCCCCCGAATTCAACAACAACTGTTCCCTTCCCCATTATAATAATTTAGCTTGTCTGTTTTTTCTTTTCCTTCCTTCCTTCCTTCCTTCCTTCCTTCCTTCCTTCCTTCCTTCCTTCCTTCCTTCCTTCCTTCCTTGCAAACACTGTTCCTGGCCTTGCTCTGTCATAGAAGAGAATGACAAGCTGAGTGAGAGATAAGTAATCTGACTCTCTTCCTCCCATTTCCTTAGTGAAAAGCTGCCTTCAAGGTGCTTTTATATTACTGAAGAAAAAGAAAAAAATTGCCATCAAGTTGCAGCTTATGGCAACTTATGGTAACCCCATGTGGTTTTCAAAGCAAGAGATGTTCAGAGGTCGTTTGCTATTGTCTGGCTCTGTGTAGCAACCCTAGAAATCCTTTATGGTCTCCCATCCAGGAACAACCAGGACTGACCTGGTCCTTTCCACATTTGCCTGCTGCTCTGGATTTTCTCAGTGTTCAAGTTGAGGCAATTTAAGTCCACAGCAAAACAGCATCTAAACAACCAGGGGCAACAGCAAGCTGAAACCAGAATGACCGCCAAAGGGAGGTAATGCAATGCAGAATGGGGAAAAAAATAGGAATAAAAAGAAGGTTGAACTTGATTTTAGTGCAGAATGGGGGGAGAAACTGGATTTAAAAGAAGGTTGAATTAGATTTTAGTGCAGAATTGCTTTGTGGACACCATGGTGAACATGGATTAAAAAGAGAGTTCAGAAAGGGCCAAGTTGTTTAGCTTCTGAGATCTGTGATGAGACAGGGCTAGCCTGGGGGGAAGAAAAATTACAGGTTACCATATCCCCCAAGCCACTGGAGGTAAAAAGGAACTGGAGGGGATGTAGCTTTTCTCAGTGAGAAAACGGCAGCAGGAAAAGGGTAAAATGTCCCCATTGTCCCCATGTCAATGTCCCCATGTCAATGTCCTTGAAAAAGCAATCTCATTAACTACATTTGCAAAAGAAAACAGTTTATAAAGAACAGGTGAACAAACATAATGGGTGAGATCCAACCTTTGACTGCTGAAAAAGATGCTGGAGATCACAGAAGTAGCATGTATGAAAGCTGTGTGGGACAGGCTGTAGTACAGAGAATTATTGGCTAGATTGAGCAAAAAACCTGGCTGGATCCTATCCAATGTGTAGTTTGATCCTTGGAAATTAATGGATCTGTCATGTTACATGGACAAGATCTCAGTTTAGTCAGAAAAAATGAAAGCTATCATGCATATATATTTGTGTGTATATACATATATACACATCTATACTAAATACTCAGTGGAATAGGTTTCCTTGGGAGGTGGTGGGCTCTCCTTTGGAGGATTTAAACAGAGGCTAGATGGCCATCTGACAGCAATGCTGATTCTGTGAACTGTAAATACCTGGAGGTTTTTTTGCCCCATCTTCTGGGCATGGAGCAGGGGTCACTGGGTGTGCATGGGGGTATTTGTGAATTTCCTGCATTGTGCAGGGGGTTGGACTAGATGACTCTGGAGTTCCCTTCCAACTCTATGATAGGAAGTAGTCTATGAAATGCCAATTAGATCATGTCTTGTTCCTGAATGACTTTTTTCTCCCTCTCATCTTTTGTGTTTTTCAGTTCGTTGAAAAACAACCCATGGATAAATACCAGACAAATCATTCGGTAGTCAAAGAATTTATCCTCCTGGGCTTTGGGGATATCAGTGATTTTCAGATTCTGCTCTTCTTTGTATTTCTAGTAATCTACATTGTTACTATGGCTGGGAACCTACTGATTGTCATCTTAGTTGCAGCTGATAGACATCTTCACACCCCCATGTATTTCCTCCTGGGGAATTTGTCTTGCTTAGAGACCTGCTATATCTCCACCATTTGGCCCAGGATGCTTGACAGCTTCCTGACTGGGAACCAATCCATGTGGGTGACTTCATGTTTTACACAATTATATTTCTTTGGGGGCTTGGCTACAGCAGAATGTTATCTCCTTGCAGTTATGTCTTATGATCGCTATCTAGCAATATGCAAGCCATTGCATTATGCAACCCTTATGAATATCAGATCCTGTCTGCAGTTAGCAAGTGGTTCTTGGGTCATTGGCTTTATGGTTAACTCTGTGACAACCTATTTTATTACTCACTTGGTATTCTGCGGACCTAACATAATCGACCATTTCTTCTGTGATTTTTCTCCACTACTCCAACTTTCTTGCAGCAACACCCTCAACATCCAGTTACTGATATTTATTCTGTCAGCTCTGTTTGGATTGTTCCCTTTTCTTTTAACCCTTATTTCCTACAGCTGCATCATAGAAACCATTTTAAGAATCCCATCCTCTGTTGGGCGGAAGAAGGCATTTTCCACCTGCTCATCACATCTCATTGTGGTTACTCTCTTTTATGGAACTATAGTCATTGTTTATGTAGTGCCCAAAAACAATACACTCAGAGAACTGAACAAGGTCTTCTCTGTCTTCTACACTGTCTTGACTCCCTTGGTGAACCCTTTTGTATACAGTCTGAGAAATAAAGACATTAAACAAGCTTTGAAAAAAACTTTCAAGAATTTTGTTGATTCGTCATAAGCATTGCTTCTCTGTTACCCTTTTGCTTCCCATGGGGACATTATTTTCAAAATGTCACAAACACAATGTAGTAACTGCTTCATTTCCCATGTACTTAATTTTTGTGGATGAAAGTCAATGGTTTGTAATGTCTTAATCTTAAAACATATTTGATATCTGCACATCAGTTCTAAACAGGTAAAAAGTTTCTCGGAAGCATGCTTAGAGTTGCAGCCACTGTGATGGGTAACAGTATAGAACCTCACTTTAGGATGGTATTTGTTAACTACCATTGGAAACCAAAAGCTGGATTGGATAGATTCTAGTCTGATCCACCATGGGACATTCTTACATTCTTTATAGTACACATGAACACATGACGTTTCCTCATAATGAATCAGACCATTAGTCCAACAATGTCAGTATTGTGTACTCAGACTGGCAGTGAATCTCCAGGGTCTCAGGTAGAAGTCTTACACATCAACTACTACCTGATCTTTTTAACTGGAGATGCTGAGGATTGAACCCAGGGCCTTTTGCATGCCAAGCAGATGCCTCTGAGATACATCCCCTCACCATAGAGAAGTTGTACTTATGTGCAATTCCATATAGCCACTCAGAGTTTGTGACAAACTACAAACAGGAGAAAAATAGGCCTCCTCCCTGATACCAGCAGCTCTAAATGGAAGCCAAAGAACCAACTTGAGTAGCCTCCTGAAACATTGCTGTCAAAGAAGTACATATACATTCCCCAGTCTAGTCTGTGACATTCAGAGCTCCTCTGTAGGCTGTAATCTCTGCTCACTATATTTTCATTTTGTGCGAGTGGTACTTCCCAATCCATTGAAGTTAGAGTTGCAGTTTTCAGCTGGCCCCTTTTACTGTGCATTTAGCAGCCATTTGACCTGGAAAAAAAACAAACCCTTCACCTGCAGGTTTCTATATACCATTCAGTTGTGAAGGGTACAAGAACAATGTGGGCAGCTTTGTTTTGTTTAGTTTAGTTCCTGGCCAGTTAACAACATAAGGTAGGGTTAATGTTGTCATCTGGATAGAAAAAATATATATCCTGAAATTTTAATAGAGGTTTAATGAGTGGAAATGGTCTGTTAAAGTTTTTCCTGGTATAACATTAAATAAAATCCCTATAAATACTTGCAAATAAAACAAATATAAAAACCAAGTAAAAGTAGAGCAACTATTTTCAAAGTTAGCAACCCTAGGTAAGGAAAATAGTGAGGGGGCGGGAAGGCTATGCTAGTGGTCAGGACCTGCATAGCTAACAACTGAGCCTGCTTCGGTGGGGAGGGCGGGGTAAAAGTTGAAACAATAAATAAATAAATAAATAAATAAATAAATACTATGGGGAATGGGCACTGTAGAAAGGAGAAGAATTGGGTGAGATTCAGTGCAAACGTGGTTTGGATCCCACCCCAATGTGCAATTCTCATGTGCTAAAATCTATCAGCTAGAGGTCATTAATATGTATGTTGGTCTTGCTTTGTGGATTATTCCTTGTTAAAAGTATTCTTGCCTACATTAAAAAAATAAACCAAATAGCTACTTTACTGAATTCCTTTCCTTCACTTAAATACACATGCCAAAAAAAAAGTAGCCGTAGTATTCTGCAGACACTGTGATAAATTTCATCTGCAAATAAATATTGAATGATTGATTGATTGATTGACTGTGATAATTTTATCTGGTCCTTTTCCTCAATATTAAGACCTCTGTTCAGGCTTAGACGTAACATGTAATTGGTGTCAGATGTTGCTTGATGCCTTGTTTAAAGTATACCTAGGATTATATAAACATTTCTAGACAGTGTTCATTGTGTGTACTTTGATTATCAAACAAATGGAATAGATTCTCCAGTGTAGATTGTGTTTTTCACGTGTGAGATTATGAATAATAATAATAATAATAATAATAATAATAATAATAATAATAATAATAATACATTCAGCTTATATCCCGCTCGAACCCCTCCCAC